ACTGCTAAACTTTGTTCTCACAGTCCTCACTGCCACCACCACTTCTATTATAACCTTTGCCACCATTATATAAATTGCTGCCACCACAATCAATATAGATGTCACCATCACTGACACCATCACCCCATCCAACCACGGCTATCACCAGTACCAACATTAAACCTTTGCCAGCATCAATATCGCCACCTCCACTGCCCACCTACTCATGTTACCATTAGTGTCATTTGTCGCCACCAACACCATTGGTACTATTGTTGTGACAGCAACCATCATTGTGCCCCCAACAAACATAAATGTCACTACCTCTACCACCATATTCACCATCACTGTCACCAATATTACCAACTTCACCATGGTTGTTTTCCCACTGTTGCAACCACTGTTACCAGTGCCACTACAACTATGTTGAACTATATTATTGATGTGAATTAAGAAAACAATATTATCGTCTGTTGTGCTATACTATTTATTTCCTTACTCAATAATCTCAAATATGCGGTCAGGTAAGAATCTTACCTCTTAATAGATTACCATATCCTACCCAACTACCTTAACATACCTTACCACACCTTACCTAATTCTCTATCCTACCCAAGTGTCAAACTTAGCCAAATCTGATCTTCTGAATGTCAATCCCCAATTATCATTGTAAATCATTGAGTCCAAAACTTTATAAAGGAGCTTATTACATCCAATTAAATTGAGAAATACATCAAATTGCTTCTACAAAATGACTTAGCTAATTCCTTAGAGAGGCTAGCATAAATAGATTAGTCAAGATTATATCTAATGAAGGACACACTTCCACAATTACAACGCCAATAAAGGCGCGAATAGAGAGCACCCTCTTAGTAAATGTCTTTTTCCAAAAGGCCTTTTAGCAAAATGATAAGGTAGAGAATAAAAGAGACTAGGACGAGAAGATAGAAAAGAGAAAGGTGAGGGAATAGGTAATGGGAAGTTAATTGCACCCATAAAAGGTAAGGCAAAGATAGGGACCTAAATCATGCATATGAACATCTTCTGAATATTAAAATAATACCTTCACTGTTTCATCATTTGAATAGGCCTCTGCCACATCACACAACTTGCCAGTGATATATGAAGCAGAATATTTTCCATCAGCAGTTCCATATTCTCCCAAAACCCAACAAATAACCTGTAATCAGGACATGTAATCACTATTAATAAGCGTAGACACATCCACTTGAAAGAGAATATCTGAAAGAATGGAAATACTAGAAAGTGGAGATACTTGAAGAAATACAGATGGAAGCTTTGGCTCCCCAATAATACCCAAGTACGACTCAACCTGCACCAAGAAAATTAATTCCGTTTCAAGGACAGTGAATGCTGAACAAGAAAAACAAGTACA